TATGACTTCGCTGTATATAAAATATACGAGTCATGTAATGGTTATATGCGATGCATGTGAAGTTCGAAGGGAGGTCAAATTGATATTATACGAAAGTCAGATGGGGTTATGTGAAGGGTATATGAGGGTTATGTGTTGTTGGTATGGAGGACACATATAGGTTGTGTGAAGGTCATGTAGGTCATAGCCAGGTTATATGGAAATTATATCAATGTCAGATGCAGGCTTTATGAAGGTGGCGTGAAGGTCATAGGAGGTTGCGTGAAGGTTATGTGAAGGTCGTATGAAGATTGTACAAAGCTCATGTGAAGGTTATATCGGTCATATGCAGGTTATATGGGAGTTATGGGGAGGTTACATGCAGGCTTTATGACGATCATAAGGAGGTAGGATGAAGTTGATGTGAAGGTCATATAAGGGATCTATGAAGGTCTTACGAAGGTCACCGAAAAGTTATATGGGGTATTTAAGGGTCATGAGAAGGCTATGTGAGGTCAAATGAAAGGCATACAAGGCGCATGTGAAGGTAAAGAATCATTGACATTATATAGAAGATATATGCAGGTCGTATAAAAGTTATATGGAGGTTAGGTTAGGCGTTCGTCCTCCTCTATTATAGCCACCTAACCACCATATGACCTTCACATGACCTCCATACGACTTCCATATGGTCTTCACAAGCGCTTCATACAACTTCAATCTGACCCATTTCCTCCATTTGACATTCATATTAGTTCCAGTTGACAGAATATGAGTTAAAAAATTCCCTTTAAACGACCTCTTTCTGGCATTCAATCGACCTTCATATAAATTCCACAGAACCTCCCACATGATCCTTCCACGAGTTTCAAGGAACTTCCATATGACCTTTACATAATCCTCATATAATCCCCATCTGATTACCATATAATCTCAATATGTCCTCTATCTGACCATCACATGCGATTCACAACGTCAATTTGCCCTTCATACGACTTCCACACGACCTTTACATGATATAACTTGCATATGACGTACATAACCTTCACATGATCTTCATAAAGCCTGCAACTTCCATATAACCCGCATATGACCTACATAACTTTCACATGAGCATTGTACAATCTTCATACGACCTGCACGTAACCTCTATATGAACTTCACGTGTCCCTCCCATAACCTCCATGACTTGCCCGTAATCTTTCCATGACCTTCATAAAGCCCTCATATGACCTTCATCCCACCTCCTTATGACCTCCATAAAGCCTGCATGTAACCTCCCCATAACTCCCATATAACCTGCATATGACGTACATAACCTTCACATGAGCTTTGTACAATCTTCACACGACTTTCACATAACCCTTACGTAACCTCCTTATGACCTCTCCGTGACCTTCATAGAACCTGCATCGGACCTCCATATAATTCCCATATGACCTGCATATGACCTGCATGACCTCTACAAGAGCTTTGAACAATCTTCATACGATCTTCACATAACCCTTACGTGACCTCCATATGACTCACACTTAACCTCCATCTAACTTTTATACGACCTGCATATATCTTCTATATAATGTCAATGATTCTTTACCTTCACATGCGCCTTGTATGCCTTTCATTTGACCTCACATAGCCTTCTCATGACCCTTAA